GTAAACGCGCCTTGGGCGGTTGATCCATTGAGGTGCATTGAGGGGTTATTGGTTAGGACGGTTAGGAGGTAGGGCCTATGGGCTATGGGCCGGTTGGGCATCAAGGATTAGGGCAGGGAGCAAAGGGCTAATGGTTAAGGGTTAGGGTTTCAAGGTTTGGAGGGGGTCTTAGGGGCTTACCTTCTAATCCCTAACCCCCGAACCCCCAATCTCCGAACCCTTCACCCCGAACCCTCCAACCCCCCAAGCCCTAACCCCCAATCTCTAAGCCCCTAGCTCCCACCCCTCACCCTGAACCTAAACCCTTAGTCCATATACCCCAACTCCAATTTTTCTCTGAAGCGTCCTCAACCGAAACCATGTGCCCGACCTACTTTTTAAGATCTAATACTTCGGGTCCAGTGCCCAGAGTTCATATCCCGCTAGACCTTCTAAGATTCTAATTCCCACACATCCTCAGATTCCCTATGCACTAGGCCCTAGGCCCTAGACCCCCTAAGACCCTTCAGGCCCTTTGGACCCCTTGAGACCTCTTAGACTCTGGACTCTAGACCCTCTCAAACCCCGAGAGCCCCTCATATTCTTTAGGTCCTAGGTCCTAGGTCCTAGGCCCTTGGCCCTACCTAGAAACCAGCTCAGACCCCCTAGGCCCCTAGGCCCTAGGCCCTAGACGGGCCCTGGACTCGCTCAGACCCCATAGACGCCTTAGAGACTTAGAGCTTAGGGCCTAGGGCCTAGGGCCTAGTAGAATCACTGGTTGGAAGTAAGAGGGCGCCCTCAATGTATCAACGATGCTCTCGGGCCTGGCTCAACATCAACTCAACTTCAGCGCTCCCCAAACCATCTTGATATAGGTTGACCGATCGCTCGGCGATCACATCAGATATAGCTCCCTGAACTCCTTCTGCGACCACATCAGATATAAATTGACCATTCGCACTGCGAACCCGAGGGCGCTTCGGGGCCGGCTCACGACTTGCTATGGCCTCAGCACGAACTGCAGCCACGACTCTAGAATACTTATTCTGAGAACCAGGAGGCCGGCCACGACCACGACGAGCAACAGGCAGTGCCAGCGGAGCCACAACCTCTGCCGCTGCCTCCTCTGCCTCCACGCGCGGGACCACGGCGGAGGCCGCCGCGTCATCGCACGCGAGGGCGGCCCAACAATCTTGCATTGTGAGGCTGCTTCATTTGCACTGAATTTCTTGGGCCAGGACGGCTCGGAGCTTCTCCCAGGCCCCCCCCCGTCGCCATGGCCAGACGCGGCTCAATAAGAATATGCGTTTGGACCCCAGGAGGGGTTAACGGCCACAGGTGCGTTCCTGATCGTTCCTGCGCTCCTGTTTGTGCTGGGCAGGGCATTGGTCACATCTTCCAGTTGTGCCGACAGTGTTACTTCTGTTGTGGGAGGGCGGGTGAGAATGGGCATGGCATGCTCGTGCCCTCGAGCTGGCTAGCTTGACTCCCAACTCCGTACTCCCTTACTCATACTCCTACTCCTACTCAGTCCTACTCCTTACTTCCTACTCACCCACACACCGATCCCTAGGCCTAGGGCCTAGGCCCTAGGCCTAGGGCCTAGGGCCTAGGGCCTAGGAGTTCAGCCCTATTCAATTCTACTCTCTTCCCCTTCTCGGCCCCCCATTCACCACCTTCTCCTCCCCTTTCACCCCTCAATGACCTCTCCTCCGTCCCGTCTCCTCCCCTCCCCCCCCTCCCCTCTCTTTGTTCTTCCTTCCCCTTTTCTGCTCTTCCCTCCTGCCTCCCCACTCCCCAAGATGCAATCCGACGGCGTTTGTCGACGTCGTGGATATGGTCGTCGTCGTTGTCGTTCTCGTCCTCGTCGTCATCATCGTCGTCGTGTTCGTCGTCGCCGTCGCCCTCGCCGTCGCCGTCGCTGCCGTCTCCGTCGCCGTCACCTTCGCCGTCGCCGCCGTCGTCGTCGCCGCCTCCGTCGTCGCTGTCGTCGCCGTCGCCGTTGTTGTCGCCGATGTTGTCGTCGCCGTCGTCGTCGGTCGTCGATCGTCGCCGTCGCCGTCGTCTTCAGTGCCATCGGAAGGCAAATTTACGTTTACGGCGCGCACGTGGCGCTGTTTTTGCGAGGCCGACGTAGCGCCCGATAGGGGCAACAATCGATCTATCGATGCGCGAGCTCACCCTGAAATGGTTTAGTGGTTTTGCCAACGGCAGGAAAAACGTCGATAGGATTGCCAACACCTAGAAAAACACTCAATAACTTCCTGCAACAAGTAATAAAAACTCCAATACATTCGCCAACTCATTTTTGATAGCCCTTAAAAGCTCTATAGGTTCTGCCAATACGACGAAAAACGTTCTATACATTCGCGAGCAAATATTCAATCGAAATTTAATAGGAAAATATTATCGTGGTTATTGAGAAGACGGTTACTTAACAGTAGCTCTTGCCGTCGACGTCCTTGAGCTCGAAGCAATCGAAGCCCACGTCGTCGCCGAAATCTTGCACGAAGTGGAGGCGCGCTGGTCTCCTTGCGCTCGGGCGCTGCTGCGAGCGGCACACTCCGCAGATCAGCCCCTTGACGGCCTGCACGGTGGCCGACTTAGCGCCCGTGAGTCGCAGACTGCGGCCGAAGTCTTCATTGGACGGATGGCCCAAGTTGACATGGAGTCTCTTGAGCATGGCCAGTTCGGTTGGCTTGCAGCAGGCTGCTGCTTTCTTGGTGAAAGTGGTCGCGCCGACTCCGATCCTGCCGTCCACGGTCTCTTCGGCCTTCACGTCGTGAGCGTCGGCGAAGTCGTCTCCGCCGCCCATGGGGCCTGGGCCCCCAATAGGCTCGCCCGTCTCTCCCAGGGGCGCGGTGTCGTTCACGTAGACGGTGGCCTGCCCCTTCAACCCCGTCGCGATGATGGGCGACGAGGAAGCGCTGCAGTCCACCTGGTAGGCGCGAGGCCCACCCTGCGGGCTGATCTGCTCGACGATGCGCACCACCGCTCGGCAGAACTCGGCTGGATAAACGCCAGACTTTCGCACCGCCACGTTGTCCCCGGACGTCTGGTCGTGGTGTGTGTGTGTGTGGCTGCAGGTGCGGCGTAGCCGCTCGAACTCCTTGTGGGTGACGAGCAGCTTGGTGGGGTGCTTGATGAGCCCCCCCATCTTGTAATGTCGAGCTCCGTACTCGCACATATCGCACTTCACCTGGTACACGCGCTTGTCGGCAAGTAACTCCGTCATAATGCGCTGTGTCCAGATCTGGCTGGTGGCCGGGTTCTCGATCATGGCGATGCCGCCTGAATCGAGCTGAGACTTGAAGAGGTCGCGGGCCAAGAAAAGGAATGGCCGCTCCGCGCGCCACAATCGCCGTAGTGCCTGCTTGCCCTGCGGCGTGCGGACGCTGAGGTGCGCAATGTTCGCGCAGTAGGTGCAGGGTAGCTCGATCGACACGAACTTCGGCCTCGATGCGCAGCGCCGTTCGCACGTCATCTCGAGGTCCTTCTGTTTGCGGAGGTCCCAGCCGCACTTGCGGTCGATCACCTCCGCGGCTGTCATGTCGCGGCGCACTGTCGCCTCGGTCATGCCGCCTTCGCCTCCGAACACCTGCATGACGCCCACGCCGTGGCTCCGGACGGCGTAGACCTCCTTGACGTTCCTCGCGTGGTCCGCCACGCCCTGCACGGCGCTCGTCGCATACTGAGCAAACGGCTTGAGAGGTCGGGACAACCAGTCCGCCGCGAGCACCGCCTCAAACGCGAAGGCGCTCAGCAAGCCCGTGACCTGGTAGAGTGGGCCGACGCGCTTGCCCATCTTGATGCCTGGCCGCTGGCCCGAGGCTGGCGGCTGGTCCTGGCGGCTTCCGCCGCCTAGGCCTTGTCGTGCGGAGACGTCCGTCTCCTGGTCGGTCTCGCCCGCCTTCTGGAAGCCGCGGTCGCTGGTGTCCATCTCGTGCTCCTCGACCGGCCTCGGGCGGCGGTGACCCGTCCAGCTGCCTTGACTTGCCGAGGCTCGCTGGATCGTCGCCGTCAGCGTCGCCGACTCGTCGTCCAGAACCACCTCCTCGGCCATCACCGCCTCGATGGTGGTCTTGAGATTATGTGGCTCGAGCGGCCTCGCCCCGTGAGCCTTGACCCACCTGCCGAAGCGCGCCAGGAGCGGGCTCGCTCGGCCGTCGTCCAGCTCCAGCACCGCCCACCGCGCGTGACCCAAGTCGATCTTGAGCACCCAGCGGTAATCCACGGTCGGGTACTTGCCGAAGCGCATCTTGTCGTTCCCCGTGATCTGCGAGCTTGGATAGGCCACGTTGCTCGAGGCGCGCCTGACCGCGTTCTCGACCTTCCAGCCCTTCAGGCGCTGTCTGAGCTCCGGCACGGTCGCGTGCTGGTCGAAATCGATATCGCTCATCCTGCGCAACTCCTGGAGCTCGTGCTTGTGCATCTTGCCGAGCCCGGGGATGTCCTGCGCCTTCTTGTCCTGGCCCTCCGCTCTCAGCGCGCGCAGGATGACGCGGAGCTGGTCGCACGTCGCGTCGCGCGCATCCCACTCGTAGCTTGCCACCTCCGCCTGTAGGTCCCCCATCCGCATGCTGGAGATCGCCGGCAGGTGGGAAGTACTCGGCGTCGGCGTATGCGAGCAGCTGACCTCCGGGTTCGTCGCCCTGGGAGGTGTCGTGCATTTCCGCTGCGACGGGGGCATGAACTCCGGCCGCTGGTTCGTGAAAAACTGCGGTGGCTGGATATGCTACGGCACGTGTCGCAAAAGCTTTCGGAGCCTGAGATGAACTCGAGCCGGACGGCCGCGGTGATGATGCCGTTTGATGACTCCGTGCTGATGGCTGATCTCGTAGCTCGCCACCGGCTGCTGAAATCGGACACGTTGTGGCTGAGGTCGCTGTCTGGTTAGCTCCTCGTCCTGTGTGATCGGTTTGCATGATCTGTGCTGCGCTGGTGGACGTAGGAGTAACTCCACATGCCTCATCCTCCGACCCCGATGATGACTGTCGCGATGGAATGCATGCGCACATGGCCTGGCGCACCTGCTGCTCGAACAGTTCAGCGCTGTCGAGCTCGTCACAGCCAGTCCCCGACTGAGACTCGTCGGCCTCCAAGGCGACCCCTCGGGCGCAGCACTCGGGCGCTGCCGGCTTGGCGGCGCTGGCCACGGCTGTCTCAGCGTGGCAAATCGAAAAAGGGTGCAGCCGGACCTCGGTCTTGGTGTCCGAGACGTCCGACACGGGCTTGTAGCTTGGCGCGAAGCCTGTGATCTCGCGCGTCGGGTGTCCTGCGCGGCTCAAACCCATCTGGATGCCGTGCTCGTTGACGGACTTGATGTCCAGCTTGTTGCCCCCCGCGTGGTAGACGACGTCCAATTCGCTCTGGGCCTGGCGGCTGAACAGCCCCGGCACGGCGCTGCGCGCGATGCTCATGCGCACGGCGAAGGCCTTGCCATTCACTGAGCAGGGAATCAGCGCCGCCTTGAGGCTGCACACCACCTTAGGACGCTCCGAAGCGGAACGGCTCCTTCTCCGGGTAGGGCACTCGATCGGCTGGATGTTGAAGGCCGCCAGCTTCTTCTTGATGTCGTTGTACCAGTCCAGGCCGCCGACGCACCGCGAGCAGGCAGCGTCGAAAGTCAGCTTGCCGCCCGACTCCTTGAGTCGGTCTTCGACGCTGATGTAGATGAGCGCCGAACCCATCGCGGCCACGTGGCACCGGTTGTCCTTGTTGATGTAGAACGAGGCTGCCGTCACCTCCTCGGGTCTGCTGCGCAGCGCGTTGCCGAAGGTGACCTTCCTCCGATCTCGCGCCGCTCTCGGCTGCTCGTGCTGGTGGACCGCCGCGACCGTCATCTCCGCGGCGTGGGGCTCCTGCGCGTCGCCGGCCCCGTCGTTCGCAGTCACGTTCGTCTTGTGACTTCCCTTTCGCGGGATGTCGGCCCTCGCGTTGGGGTCGTTCTGCTTGGAGCACTGCGGGTCGCCGCGCCAGTGGCCATTCTGGCCGCAAGCTCCACGGTGCGTCCTCGCCTTCATCTTGGCGATCTTGGCATCGTCCTTCTTCGGCGGATGCCCGCCGTCTCGCTTGGCGAAGTAGCCGCGCGCCTGCTTGGCCTCCTTCAGCTTGTCCTCGGCGCGCACCATCTTCTTGGCGAGGCAAGCTACCTGCCCCATCCGCCTCATCTCTCACGTCCTGCAGCTCGTCCGGCAAATCGTCGTCGTAGCCCTCGGAGCTGTCGGTGGACGCGCCGTCGTTCTCGGCCTCGTCATAGGCCTCTGTGGCGTACACCTTCTTGTGGCCCTTCTTGTGACCTCCGTAGCCGCCCGATGCTCTTCGCTGCCGTCCACGACCGATACTTGGGGCAAACTGATCATGAGCTGCTACTGGATCTTCGTCGGATTGAACTTGTTGCCCACGCCGTTGAGCACACTCGCTGCACGCTCTGGTGGCAGGCGGGCGCCCTTGATGCGCAGGTCGGCCAAGACCTCGTCGGGCACCTGTATGTCCTTAGCTCTCAGCCTCTTCGCATTGCTGTTGAAGCGATTGTTGAAATCGCGGATCTCCTCAAACTCGTGCCGGGTGCATGCTGGCTTCACGAACGTCTCCAGGAGCGCTGGTACCTCTAATACTTCAATCTCGGGAAAGCGTTTCCCGAGGTACTCCAAGAAAACCTCCACCGAGCCGTCGCCCTGGATGGTCTCTAGGTCGGGCCTCCTCGGCTTTGCCCTTCAGGCTGGCCAAAAGCGTCGCGCCCTGCTTGGGCAGCTTGACCTCCGTGCCAATCAGCGACTTCCCCGCGGAACTTCTTCATCGTCTTGGTCGTGCCGTCAAAGACGGGTACGGGAATCTTGCCCCCGCTGTTCTTATCCTCGCCGCTGGCTGCAGCGGTTCCTCCAGTAGTCGCCATAGCGGCAGCTCCGAATGAGAGGTGTCAGTCACCGTCAACTCCGAATGAGAGGTGTCAATCACCGTCAACTCCGAATGAGAGGTGTCAGTCGCAATCACGAGCTTGTAGGTGCCTTTATTGACTCTGCGAAGTCGCGCACGTTGCTGTGGTCGAGTTAGATCCTGCTACCAATGTAGACCCAATACTGCAAAGCGGGGTCGTAGTGCAATAATTACCGCGAGGTTGTACGTCAGCGATGATACAACAACGATACCCATAACATCCGCAGTGGATGGCGAAAGATGGCTGCTTAGCGGAACCCGCGATGGACCCTACCGATACGCCCAAGCTCAAGGGCCCTGAAAAGGATTGAGCCCAAATAAGCACGGCAAAGGTCAATACACTCTGCATGCTTGCTTGCCTGCTGTGCTACACTGCATACAGATCAGCACGGACACTATATATTTCACAGAGGGGGAAGGGAGGGGTACGGGGGGGAAAGGGGGACGAAGGGGAAGGAACGGGAGGGACGGGGGAGGGGGGGTGGGAAGGGCGAGGAGGCGAGGGGGGAGAGGGGGGGAGGGGAGGGGGAGGGGCGAGATAGAGAGTGAGAAATGGGGAAGAACGAGAAACGTGGCGAGGGGCACGGATGGGATGCGCAGACTGGCGGGGGAGACAGCTGAGCATTGACGGGGGGAACGATGGGGACAGAGGATGGAACGGTCGGGGACGGGGCGGGGGAAGACGGGGAGGGCGGGGGAGGCAAGCCAAGGACATGAGAGGCGGCGCAGCTGGGGGGGGGAAACAAGAGAAGGGGCCAGGGGGGGGGGGGGGGAAGGAGTGGAGCAGGGAGAGTGGAGGGGGGGGGGAAGGGCAAGCTTTTTTTGTTTTGCCCTCGTGGCTTATTTTTCCCCCTCGGGGGGGTCGTGGCTTTTATTTTTTCCCTCGGCGTCTTTTATTTTTTCCCTCGGGGTTTTTGTTTGTTCCCTCGCGTTTTTTTTTCCTCCCCTCGGGAGAAGGGGGGGAGGGGGGGGGAGGGGGGGGGGCGCGGAGGGGTGCCGGGTGGGGGCAGGGGCAGAGGCCTCGAGGCCCTCTCCAAGGGGGGGGCCGGGAATGGCGAGCTGGGGAGGCCTGGCGGGCGCTCCAGCTCGGTCCGGGCCCACCAGGGGGCTCAAATTTGCCGGCCCAACGGACGGACAAGAGGCGTGCGAAGATGATCTCTGGCAGTAGGTTCCGAATACTTCTAATTCGCGCGCGCGTGGCGGCCTCGGGATAAAGCCTCGAATACGTAAAATGCAATGAATTTGCTTCCGGTGCACTTCGTGTTGCCAGCGTTGTTGCAAGGAAGCCCGTTCCGAGCAAGCCAGCTCGCGACAACTTGACGACCATCGCAAATGCAAACGAACATCACCGAAGAAGTGCACGAAAATCGCATGTCAACAAAAATCGGACGTCGAGGACAATCGATTAAAAAGTAAACATATCGACCCACGAACTCGGAAAGAGATGAACATGTGGAGCAGGGAAACGTTGCAAGATACCAAACTTGGGCGGCGGGCAATTACACGTCCCCTCCGCGCGAGTATTTCTACGTGCGAAGTGCCCGACGACCTCATGTTAGAGATCCGCGTGGGCGACCAGGACACGAGAAACTAAGCGTTTCGCTCGATACATTCTGGATCTTAAGCTCGAGCTGCCTGAACGCATAGTTCGGGCTAGTTGCAATCGAAACGCGCGGGGCGCTCGATCAGCTCGAGCCCAAGAGCCATTTCAGTTCCGAAGCCCTCGCTCGAGACATCCTCACAATTTGCTCAGCCATAGAGCCACACCACATGTTGGATATCCCCTTGTGTGGCCTGGACGCGTGAACACGCGCCAAATGCAATGCGCAAAACGCATGCTACATCCCCCTCCGCGAAAACGAAAACAAGCATTACGCTAGAGACACCCTGAACAAATCATGCTGAAAGAACGTTTCGCTCGGGACACGTGAAAAGGGAAACGAGCGTTTCGCCAGAGACATCCTCAACACATCCTCATGTTAGCGACCCGCTTGGGCGACCTGGACACGTGAAAACAATCGTTTCGCTACAGATATCGGTAACATATCTCCATGTTGGAGATCCGCGTGGGCGACCAGGACACGTGAAAACAAGCGTCTCCCTAGAGACATCCTCAACACATCTTCATATTAGGCATCCGCCTGGGAGACCTAGACACGCGAAAACAAACATTATACCCCTTTGGTGGCCTGGACACGTAAAAACACGTGGTTCAGCTCGGGACAACCATGTTAGATAGCCCCCTTGTGGCCTGGACACGTGAAAACGCGTGGCTTGATTTCGGAACCACCATGATAGATACCCTCCTGTGTGGGACGTGGTTCCAGCTCAGGACTGCCATGCTACATACCCCTTGGGCGGCGTGGACACATGAGAACACATGGTTCCGGCTCGGAACTACCATGTTAGATACCCCCTGGGTGGCCAGGATACGTGAAAGCACGTGGTTGCAGCTCGGGACCGCCCTCCCAGAGACTTCCCCTGTGCGGCCTGGACACGTGAAAAAACATCTGGTTCCAGCTAGAGGCAACCATGTTAGATACCCCGCTGGGCGGCCTGGACACGTAAAAACAGCCCGCTGAACCCACCATGACCCCCCTTTCTCGTTTGGTATATGAATTACAATGTTTTTTCACTTTCCAGAGAGCCCCGACGGGGCCCCTCCCAGAGGCCCCCGCCGCATAGGTTTCCTTTGCTCACCGTGATCATCATCATACTCATCGCAACCATGATACTCATAATCGTCACGATACTTCCTCGTCAAACTCATCATTCTCATGATCATTCGCCATCAACACCGTCATCAGCATCATCAACACACTCAACAGCATGTTTGGCTCGAGGTCTCTGGTGCGCCCTTCCCTGAGCCTCTTCAATATCCCTCGTGCCCGACTCAACACCCAGTACTCAACAGCCGCCGTGTCCAACACAACACCGTGTACTCAACAGGGTCCTGCTGCAAGACACCCTCCTTAGGAGTTCTATTAAAATCCCGATCCCGCCCGCCGCCCGCCGCCCGCCCGCGCGCTCGCCCACCCGCCCGCCCCCGTTCTCTTTGTGTTCAAGTCTTTCCGTGTCCAACGCAACACCCAGTATTCAACAGCATCCGTGTCCAACACAACATCAAGTATTCGACAGCCTCCGTGTCCAACACAACACCCTGTACTCAACAGACTCCCGCTGCAAGACACCCTCCGTACGAGTTCTATTGAAACCCCGATCCCGCCCGCCGTCCGCCGCCCGCCCGCGCGCCGGCCCGCCGCCCGCCCCCGCCTTCGTTGTGGTCAACCGTCCCCGTGTCCAACACAACACCCAATACTCAACAGCCTCCATGTCCAACGCAACACCCAGTACTCAACAGCATCCGCATCCAACACAAAACCGTGTACTCTGCAGGCTCCCGCTGCAAGACACCCTCCATAGGAGTTCTACTGAAATCCCGATCCAGCCTGCCGCCCGCCGCCAGCCGCCCGCCCGCCCGCCGCCCGCCCCCGCTGTCCTTGTGTTCAACCCGCTCCGTGTACAACAGAACACCCAGAACTCAACAGCCTCCGTCTCCAACACAACACCATGTACTCAACAGCCTCCGTGAAAAAAACACAACACATTGTACTCAACAGACTCCTGCTGCAAGACACCCCCCATTAGGAATTCTATTAACATCCCGATCCCGCCCGCCGCCGGCCGCCCGCCGCCCGCCAACGCGCCCGCCCGCCCCCCGCCCCCGCTCTCCCCGCGCTCAACTCTCTCCGTGTCAAACACAACACCCAGTACTCAACGGCCTCCGTGTCCAACACAACACCATGTACTCAACAGGCTCCGCGTAAAACGCAACAGCTTGTGCGCAACAGGTTCCCGCTGCAAGACGCCCTCCTTAGGAAATATGTTAAAATCCCCATCCCGCCTGCCGCCAGCCACCCGCCCGCGCGCCCGCCGCCCGCCCCCGCTCTCCTTTTGCTCAACTCTCACCGTATCCAACACAACACATAATACTCAACAGCCTCCGTGTCTAACGCAACACCCTGTACTCAACAGGCTCCCGCTGCAAGACACCCTCCATAGGAATGCCATTACAATCCCGATCCCGCCCGCCGCCCGTTGCCCGCCCGCGCGCCCTCCCGCCGCGCGCCCCCGCTTTCCTTATGGTCAACCCTCTCCGTGTACAACAGAACACCCAGAACTCAACAGCGTCCGTGTCCAACTCAACACCCAGTACTCATCAACCTCCGTGTCCAACACAACACCGTGTACTCAACAGGCTCCTGCTGCAAGACACCCTCCTTATAAATTATATTGAAACCCCGATCCCGCCCGCCGCCCGCCGCCCGCCACCCGCCCACCCGCCCGCCACCCCTCTCCTTGTGTTCAACTCTTTCCGTGTCCAACGCAACACCCAGTACTCAACAGCCGCCGTGTCAAACACAACACAAAGTATTCGACAGCTCCGTGTCCAACACTCAGTACTCCAACAGCCTCCGTTTCCAACACAACACCCAGTACTCAACAGCCTCCGCATCCAACACACCACCGTGTACCCAACAGGTTCCCGCTGCAAGACACCCTCCTTAGGAGTTATACTGAAATCCCGATCCAGCCCGCCGCCCGCCGCCCTCGCCCGCCCGCCCGCCGCCCGCCCCCCGCTGTTCTTGTGTTCAACCCTCTCCGTGTCCAACGCAACACCCATTATTCAACAGCCTCCGTGTCCAACGCAACACCTAGCACTCAACAGCCTCCGTGAAAAACACAACAC